ACTTACACGACCATGTAGAATTAATCTCCTAAAAACTTAAGATGATGAGTCTGTGGTACCCCTACCTGGTTACCTCTATATTTTAGGATTACTCTACCCTTTCTCTTTTTGAGCCCCTTTATGCCCTGTCGTTCCTTTAACTTTGTTGATATCATCTTGATGGTCTTATTACAGATGAGTTGCTGCCCGTTTGAGATACAATGATTTACCCTATGCTCTTATGACTCGGTGAGCTCGATTTATAGAGATTTCCCCGTCAACATGATTTTGGTTATTTTGTAAGATCTGATACTGACAAGTAGCCACCTAATCGAGACTTAGGAGACTCGTTCTCTGCCCCACAGCTTAGTGAGAACTTTGAAGCATTTGAGCATTCTCATACAAAATAACCCTTCTTTGATGCCCCATGCTTCAGATTCGTGGTAATATAAGCAAAACTCATTTTATCGAGAGTATTCTCAGGTATTCCCTAAGATGTAATTAATCGGAGGGATGCGCTCCTCTAGTAGATTCTTGACCCCATAACAATAATGGATTTTTTTGTTCACTGGTTATGAGTGGCTTATGTAGGGATTCTTTTTATGAATGTTGTGTTTCAAGGTAATTCGATCCATTCTTGTTAGGATGTATATTATCGACCCATCACACGAGGATTACTTATATATAAGCCTTATAATTGTTTCTTTTTTACTTGCTTAGCTATTTACTGTCGTATATCATTCTTTTTAATTTCTCTTCTCTTCGAATCATTAATATGATTCAGGAGGGAGATTTATTTGAATAAAATAATTATATGACGAAATATAAATAGATAAGTTGGTGAATCTGAGTCTTTAAAAAGAACCGAGAAAACAAAGCCTTTATCCCACTAAATGGGGTTGCCACATGAATCCCTTTTCTCCATTGTGTCTTATCGAGTTTCATATTTTCATTTAATTCTAATAATCATTTTTTATTCCATAAGCTTAAGTCTTTTGAGTTCTACTCTGCCCTTCTTAATATAAGTTTAATTTAAATCATCTTTTTTCTTAACCAAATCATCAGATAGTCGATGTTTAACATGATTAAACCATCTAAGACGACTCTCTCTAATCTTGTCCTCCACTGGAGACCAACCCTATCAAGGATATATTCATTTCACATTTTTTCTCTAAGTGTTAAGCCACTTATCCACCTAAAAATTCTCATCTTAACAACATTTAACTTTATTTTATGTTTTTCTTTTAAAGGACAACATTATGCGTCATAGAGCATTGCAGGTATTGATCCCGATTTTTATATGTAAGGATCTATGAAGTTGACATCACTACAGTGCCAAAAACTTGATCCTTATATGAAAATTAAATTGTGTAAAAAATATATAATTATAGGCTATTAATAATGAGATTCTACGCAAGTATACGTATCATTATCAAGTAATAATGAACTTTCTATTTAAGCCCCAAATATCGATCCCACAGGGAAGATGTAAGTTAGCAATGATAAATTTTAATAGGAAATTTACAGAAAATCAAATGAAATCTCTATCACTAATTTCAAATGTTGGGATATTAACCAAACTAAATTACTTAACTATTAGCAAAATGGAAATGCAAATTTTGAATAATAACTACCAATCTACTGACTATGTTTATGTAATAAAGATTTCTTATGTGAAAAAGCATCCTTCCCACTACAATGAAATTCTAGTGAAATGAGATGAGATAAATGTATATAATATGTATTGTGCTAAATAGGAACAATTTTAATTTTCTACCCTAATACAGTGCATAGAAAATCATTAGTTAATCTTAGGTTTAGTCCCTAAATCCGCGGCTAGGCTAGGAGAATACCGGCTCCCCCTCCAGAGCTCCCCCTACCCTTCGATTTTAGTCTGTCACCCTAAAGATTCTCCAATTCTACACCCAACAAAGAATATTTTCTTATTTATTTGCACTTAATTTCATGAACAAAATTCTCCTTCATGAAATCAAATGTGATCCTCACTCTGTTGTAGAACACATACTCCATTTCCCATTCATAACATATTTTAACAAATCAATTGGCCAAATTGAAAAGTAAATTAAGTTTGGAGTTAAAAAATCATCACAATTTATTTTATATTTTAATTATGACACATTCATATTATCTCTTCATTTCTATAGATCTCAAAGTAGGGGGAAAGATAGAGGAAATCACTCAGACTTCATGAGAAAGATACGACAAAACATAAATTTCATATATAAATGAAAGTTCATACAACACTAAATAAACAAACAAACAAACTTATCTGAAACTCTTTCTCAAAGCAAATCCTTTGTAGCCTTTTCTTAGAAATGCAAGAAGAAGAACTCTCTCACTTTTCTCCTTCTCCAACACTCTTACAGAAAGTATCACACTAAATCTCACCATAAAAACTCTAAAATATGAAAGCAAAATTACTAGTTGACTCCAATATGTGGTGGAATGAAGATGAATTATGGAAATGTAGCGTGGTGGAAAGTTGTAGAGCAAAAAATGAACGTAGAGGAGCCCCTTTTTTGATGAAATTCGGCCCCAAATAAAGCCCAAGGTCGGTTTTCCAAGAGGGCCTCCAAAAATTCTTCAAAAATCGTCCAAATACATCAAACCTTCTAGAAATGGGGTCTGAACTGCCTTGGTGCCGTCGGTGCTGAGTAAAAATCCTCCCGCTTTCGATTGTTCTGTGCCGTCGACGCTGACCTTGGCGTTGCCGGCGCTGAGTATTTCCTCAAAAACGTTATTTTGACTCCAAATTTCATTCTTTTTGCTTTAAGCCCTAAAAATCAACAACTTGCAAGAAAACATGAAAATACCTTGTATTAAAGTGCAATATCACCAAAAATAGGTATAAAATATGGGTCTAAAAATGCATATATTTTAAGTGTATCAGGTATCACCATCATCTTATAAAATTTTACTTTAGGTCGAAGCGATACTTTTCTATCACATAATAGCTAGGCCCGATGCATTCCTCCACTTTAACCAACCTACTTGAATTCTAAAAAGTTCACATCTTTTAATAAATTGATCACCCATAGTTACAAATTTGCCACTAGTGCTACTAAAATTACATTTCATGTATTTAGTTTTAGATCTACTCAAACAAAGGCTTTTATAATCTAATGCTGACCTCCATAATTTAAGTTTTTCCTGAACTCCTTATCTAGTCTTATCCACAGGAAGGATATCATCAATGGAAGTCATACACCAAGGTACATCCTCCTATAAATTTCCAGTAAGAGCATCCATAACTAAAGCAAAAGCATATGGGCATAAAGCCAATCCCTGAAAGGCTAGAGAAAGAGTTCAAATTATTTGTATTTTTTGTTATAATGATGAATAAAATTCCTCTACTTCTTGAGTGATAATATATCATAAATACCTAACATTAGATGAAATGCACTTATGAAGCCTCAAGTATAAACCCAACAAAAAATAAACATAATTCAAATGTCTTGAAGTGTGAAGCTACATATCAATTATTTTTAAAAAGATGCTTTAGAGGACATTTTACATCAAAGATATAATGCTTATGATAATAATAAATTTTCTCATAAGATAAATCAATTGTACAAACCCTCTTAGTATTATACATTATCACTTATGGCTTTCAAATTTGAGTTAGATTAAATAAAAATTTTCCTAATTACATGTCAAATAATCCATGGTTATGCTTATTAATTGTCTTTAGCTCTAATATTTGAAATGTGATATGCGTCTGTAGCTATTTATTCAAATGATTGTCGGTCTAAATAATTTTTTCATCTTGTATCTACACTGAATGAAATCTATAATATGAGATCACAATTCAACAAATATCAAGTCAGAGATATATTTTGGAAGGGACCTTTCTAGTGTTTCATTTGTGTGATCTTAATGTTGATAAAATTATTTTTTTTTCCAAGTTACACGGAGAATTAAAATATTATATTTTTTACTACATTCATGTTCACGCATCACACACTCCTGTGACATCTCCAATGGATATTTTGGTGATAAAACATCAATGGAGCCATGTCAATATCTATCATGTTTATCTTTGACAACACTATTACCTACTCTTAAATAAATGCATGTCATATTATTTATAGATTTTGTGCTATTTATTTGAACCATTAATCCTCTGGCATTTGTATCAATAAATATCCAATCAAATTTGCTATATTATTTGCGTTAATCCTCAATAAACACAAGAAAATTGATAAATGATTCACCTACAACAAAAACTCTTAGGGAAGTGCTCTAAGTAAAAAAAGCAAAAGCAAGATAACTCACTAGTTTGAAAAAGATTCAAACTAAGTTTGAATAAAGGTTGAAGCTTGTTCAACCTAATACAAACCTATTCTAATTAGAAATGACAAAGGTCAAATCAAATTTGAACATCATTTAACCATAGAATTCAAACCTACTTCGAGAGTAGATAAAACATAATTTGAACCTAACTCATTGACCATTTATCTAGCTCTACATTCATCTCAAAAAAAAAAAAAATCAACTTTCATTTTCTCATATATATTCTCCTTTATAACAAATACATTTATTACAAAACATCAAATAAATTATTTCAATTATATGCCACAACATCATCTACACATTAGAAATACTTCCCATAGGTGTCAAAATTTGCTAATAATATTTTGCTTGGTTCAACTTTATCATCTCATTATTCTCAACTATTTTAAAAGAAATATCACAACTACATAGCAAAAAAGTCAGCAATGATTGCAATGTAATGTTGTGCATAGAGGAGTTGAGGACATTGTAATGTTTGAGAACATGATATATAGTTGGCTAGAGATATATAGATATATTTGTCATATGATATATTAAAGGTATTAATTTGTGGCATAAAAAATTATTAAAAAAATATGTATTTTTTAAATCGTTGAAATAGTAGGATGGGATGGTTGTGGGTAGGCAGCTGCAGCCTTTCTTTGCCTTCGTGAATAAATAATAAAAAATTATAGAATAAAAGGGCGACGAGCGGAGGGAGGGAGGGAGGGAAGCGGGAGGAGGAAATCAGAGAGACGGGAGTAGAGGAGAGAGAGAGAGAGGGAGTTTCAGAACGCGCATTTATTCTCTTGAACACGCAGGGAATTGGAGAAAAAGTGCTTTCGTCAATCTGGATCTTCTTCTTCATCGAGCTGGGATTAGAGCTTCTCTTGACCTAGGTGTTCTGCTTTTCCTTTGAAGGAAGATTTTGTAGCTGGTCTGTCATCCACCTTGTTTCCTTCGCGTTCATGCTGGAATCATCAAACTGATCGGGGTTTGTCGCTGTTATGTGCGCCTCTTGCTTCTAATTCAGTTATTATTTATAGCTATTCGATAGCTTTTTGCAGGTCGAGGAGATCTGAGCTCGCCAATGTAAAAAAATACAAATGAAAAAAATAAAATTATAATCTGGTCCGAATATAGCTGCTTCAATCCGTTCATTTCACAATTCTGATCTTGTTCTTATAATTATTCTTTATTGTTACTATTTCGATAAATTTTCAGGCTGATGTTGGGTAAAGTTTTGTTCCTCGTAGCAAACGAAACATGCACTGTCGACGCATTTTTGAGTTGAGGATTGTAACTGAGCGCTTTGGTTTTTGGTGTGTATTTTAGAATGCCAGAGCAATATGATTATCAGATTGAGCATGGCTGAATTTGTCCAATCAGATATGTGTATCAACATTCATAATTAATTGGAAATTAATCTCTACGAATTATAGCTGAATTGGATATTTGCATGCCAGCTTATCAATCAATGTGCCGATGAAATTAGTTTTCACGAATTATGGCTAAAGCAGCTCCCTCTCTGCCCCTTCATCGATCTATGCGCTCATAAATGCCACCTCACCAATCCCTATGCATGTATTTGTGATAACTGATTTTATAGCTAAATTTTTGCTCTTGATCGTGTGTATACTTTTTTTTATTTAATTATCCTAGGATTTTGTTTTTACTACAAATATTGTAACGGTTGTGTTACATGGGGGAATGAAAAAACGACGAGTTGGAAGAGGAAGTGAAGAGTCAAACATGGCGGAGTTGAAGCGAGGAGTCGTAAAGCAAACAAGCGAGAGGAATCAAGAAGTCGGGAAACCGAACAAGCCTATAAATTCGTCGTGAGGAGGGCAGAAACTTACAGGAGAGTTGAACAGTGCAAGTTAGAGTTTCCTCGTAGTCGGAGGCAACGGACGACGCGGAGGAGACCAGCGATGAAGAAGAGGAAAGGAAGGAGCATCGTAGAGAAGGAGGAGGCGGGTTGAGACCAATGAGAGGTTTGTAGAAATTCCACGAGGATTCACTTGGCTTTTTGTTTCCTCGCGTCCATGCGGGTTTGTTCTCTATTGTTTGGTAAAAAATCCGCTCTATTCAGCTACCAACCCTCTATTCTAAGGGATTATTTTCTAACGATCTCTGTAGTTCGAAGTAATACACACACTTTTGCCCTCTCTACCATGGGAATTGGAAAGAAGCGGTCCAAATGAAGTTCATCTAGCACTATTATTGCCACAATCTCTTTGTCAATCACTCTCATTTCCGTAGAGTAATCTGCACGTGCACTTGACTTGTGCATGAAATTGTGCTTATCTCATACCCATGTGTGAACTCAACTTGGAGTGTCATTTGTCTTTCTCGAATTAGCTTGGACTCATTTGATCTCTTATTGATTACTTTCTCAGGAGTTTGAGAAATTAAATATTAAGTTGACTATGAAGATTACATCAATCAATAATTTGGGTGTTTTTGGTTTTTGGTCAAACATCACAAGTAAGAATTAATCCACTTCTCGATTTTAATCTTGATTTTTGTTATGAGAAAATAATTTTTGGGGCATATTGATAGATGCGATCTTGCTTCATTTGAAAAGCCAACATCAGCTAAATATTAAAATAAAGATGTAAAAGTTATGGGAAGGATTATAGAATCTATTAAATTGATTCTTTGCAGTACAAGTCCTTATAAAATGGCTAATAGTATATCAGAAGATTTACGATAAATTTACATTTAGGATAATGCAACTATACTTTTTCAATCAGAATATGAGATTGTGAAATTATGCTCAAGAAGACATCTCAAATCATGATTACTTTTTAAGCCTCAAAACCAGTGGATAAAATTAGTTGATAAATCTTTGCAAGGTGTCTTCTAAATTTCTTTTAGCCATTAGAGGTTCATTAACAGACAAAGAGAGTTTTTTATTGAAACTTGGTTTTGAACATGAGATGACGACTCATGACCATTCTCCAATAATGGTGGTGTGCTTTAGAAAATTACAATCACATGAGAAACTTGTTGTATATACAACTCACAAGAACCATAAAAAAAAAGATATGCAAATAGATGCAATACTACACATGCAAGGATTACTGGCAAAGTGCTGCAAATTATGTAGACAAAATTTTTAATTGTTGTAAGAAGTCATTATATTTGATTAAAGATATTTAAAAATGTCCTTAGAATTTATAATCAAGTTCTATAGAAGCAATGGGTTAATAATCAGTTTGGTTTACCCACACAAACAAATTGGAGGTTTGCTCTTATAGTTAAAGCCCTATCTACTTTAGTGCATCAAAGTAAGGATGCACTACATACTCTCTTCATCTTATTTTGTAAATTCTAATGCTTTAAATAACATAAGTTATATTCATAATATCATATCATATCTAATAGTAGTCTTTTGTCTCTCAAAATAAATAGAGATATAAACCTTAGAGCTTAAAATGTTCTCATATCTCTTATGTTCTCAAGTACTCTCATTTTAGCCCAAAAAAAAAATGATAATAAATATTTTGTTCGATTTTCTTGTGATGGTTGCACTATGCAGGATCAAGATAGAAGAAAAATACTCATGAAGGGACCTAAAGGTGGACAATTATTTTTTGTATCCATTCATTTCAAAGGTGATTTCATTATCATGTATTTTATAAACGAAAATAATGGTCTCTTGCAAAAACGTTTAGGTAATCTAAACTCTTTTATTTCATAGCACTTAATAAATTTTTGTTTATTAAGAATGAAATATCAATTTGCTTCTCATGCTTCACTTGTCTGCTCAACATGCAATTTAGGAAAAGAGACTTTCTTTCCATCATTTGGTAATCATGATAAAAATTATGTTGGTTTGATCCTTAGTGATTTATGAGCTATCACTCTAGTTATATCATGTACAAATTACCAATGTTTTATCATTTTTATCAATGATTTCAACAAGTACTCGTGGATTACTTTTTTCTATCAAAAGTATGAAGTATTTTGTCATTTAAAAATTTGTTGTTTATGTTGAGACTTAATTTTCATATCATATAAAAATATTGAGATTTGATTTAGGGGTAAATATATTTATTAACTTTCATGAGTTTTGTTAAAATAAGGGAATTATTTTTATGAGATTATGCTTTATGCACCTCAATAAAATTGTATTGTGGGACAAAAAAAAATGTCACCTCTTAGGCGTTTAAGCCTTACTATTGGAATTTATAGTTTTGTCTAATTTTTTTGTTTTAAGAAACAACCATCTAATCGATAGATTACCCCCTCGTACCATAAGCTTATATATTACCCCTTTTATAAGCATCCAAACTATAATGATTTGCACATATTTGATTATGTTTATTTATTTATCTATCAACTCATGAATATCATAAATTTTCAGCTTAGTTCACTAAATCCGTATTTATGGACTACAATACTTCTCACAAAGTCTATAACTGTTATGATCCAGGATCCAAAAATTTCAAATCTCTAATCATGTTGTATTATTTGAACATCAATCTTTTTTCAGCCCGCGCCAATTGATCCGTCATATGAACTTATGCAAATTAATGCACGATCCGAATCTACTAATGAGATTCTCAATGACTCCAGGTTGATCTTCCTAAGTTTCTCTTCTTCTAAATTGGTACAAGTTTCACACCATATTGACGCCTATTCTTATTCCTTCAAGTATTTGAGAAATCAGTAACTTTGAATGTTAGAAGGAAGCTATGGCTGAAGAACTCCATGTTTTTAGGACAATCATACATATAGATTGTTTATTGTCCCTCTAAAATTCTAAAGCTACATCATGCAATGGATATACTCAATCAAACTTTACTTTAATAGTATTCTAGATCACTACAAAGCACAATTAGCTGTCCTTTATAAAATCAAGAATATGGAATTGTTTATGAAGATATGTTTGCTCTTGTAGCAAAAATGGTCATAATGCTAATGATTGTATTAATTGCTACCTCACAAGTATGGCCACTTAACCAAATGATGTGAAAAATGCCTCATGAAGATCATCTGGAATGCATGTATATGAAAGTTCTCTCTAGGGTACCTGTCTCTTCTCCTATTGAAGTATTCAAACTAAAGCATTCTCTATATAGTTTTAAATAGATTTCCATGTATGGTTTGATAAATTTGGTTAACTCTATTCTATCTCTTATACATATAGAAAATTTTATTCGTCATTATTTATCTGTAGGGATTTTTACATCCATGGCACTTGAAACATTAAAATTTACATATATCACACCCAATTTATTCTATTTACAAATATAGAACCTAAATCTCTATTAAAATCCAAAAACAGCACTCTGTTTTATCCTCATTACTTCCCCTCAATACTTCCCCCATTATCTCCTTTACTAAAAAAATTGCGGAGTGCTCTAGTCCGTGGAAACATTACCTCTGTCAAAGGCAAGCTTTCCTCAATTTCATCCCATCTTTCCTAAAGAACAACATCAAACACATGCAAACCTTCATATTTCCTTTTTAGTGAAGGAGATGACAATAAAAGAAACGGGAGATAACTGAGTGTTATTTTTGGGGTTTTAAAAGTGATTTAAATGTTATTTTGTAAACAATACAAATTGGGTGAGATACATGTAAATTCCAATGTTTCAAGTGTCGTGTATATAAAACCCCCTGCTCTATAAGATATTCAATGTAATTGTTATGTTTCTTTCAATAAACTTGGGATCATCTCTTAGTTCTTAGGTTTTGATATGCTCACTAATTTCTTTAGTGCATTTTTAAATCGACATTCACATACACAAGATCTGATTATTTTAGTAGTCGATCAAAATACTTTCCTTACAAATATTGAAGTAGAAAGAAACGCAAAGCATTGCTGTGAGAAATGTTATCTTCTCTTTGATCCCACCACAAATAGAGAACTGATAGAAAATTTAAGCTATTTGACTGTTACATGATTGGATATTTTCTTCATTGTTCAACAAGTCACTTATGCAAAGTCTTGTCATTTACATTTATATTTTGTTCATCAAATTATTTGCTAGCTTATTGGGACACCAAGTCATTTATTTTTTTTTCACATGATTCTCATCTAGTGGGGGAATATGGTAATGTGGATTATTCATAGAATAGTGAGGTATCTTACTAATTGTTTTCTTTCTAGAAAGAGTAAGAACTAATCTTGTGTGCCTAAATCATCCTCATAATATAAATATATATTTCTGCAACATGTTCAACACTTATTTACTATAGAAATTTGTTGTCACACCCAACAATGTCCTCTCCCCAAATTGACGCGAGATATAACAGAGGTGTATATGATTTAGCTGATTGAATAAATTCCTATCATCCATTCTAATATCATATTTGTTAGAATAGGATGAGCGATAAACTCAATCACTTGAGTATACCTGAAACAATATATTACAATATTTCACACATCTCTAATAAAATCAAATCATTCAAATTAAACAAAAACATTCCAAAGGATTTCGTTTAAATATATATATATATATATAAAGCATCTAAAACACGAAAAATTTTAACAAAAGGCATATAATTTAATTTATGTCTTACCTCGATATTTCTCTATTTTATAATAGTTATATAACTAAAAATGATAATAAGATGAAACTGATTTACTCATCCTCAACTTCATTTGTTCCTGCAAAGATAGCTACAATCATCTATAAGGAGCTACAGGACTCAACAAAATAAACAAATTAGATACATGTTATAAATACTCAGTAATAGTAAACGACATAAGTGATAACGACGAATAGTCATAACCATAAAACTGAATATATTTGATTTGTACATTACTATAATAGTGAAAATTAAATTTTAATTATATAAATTTTACTTTAAAATATTGATACATGGAGATAACAATAGAATTGTATTGATAATTATTTTTGGTATATTATGTCAGTTAATTATCTACTTACATATTAATCTAATATCTTTAATCCTTTATTTGGTTATATATTATTTTCTGTATTGTTTTTTTTATTTAGCTTCAGCATGTGTCATGAACGTTTGTGTACATTTAATGGTCATCATAAGGCAGTGAGTTGTGAAATCACACCTCATAATCTAGGGTATTAATCCATTCTGACGGCTACATCATCAAGTTTAATAAAATTTATGTGAAACCCACCATGGACCTTTTTGCCCCACATAAACATATCATTGCCAATAGATCCCCCATGAAACGACACTTTGTAAGCTCATTAGATCTTTATTATTGAACATTTAAATAAACATGTGCTTCGTTTTAAAATATATTGAATAATAATATACATAAATATGTAATTTATAAATACTAGATGTCTATTAAAATTATCACTAATTAAGGAAAGATTTTTATGATGAAAGTATATTTAATTGCAAGCTTGTATCAACAAACTTTTTTATATGGTCATTTATGTATGAATAATAAGCTGTAAAAAATGAATTCTTCAATATGAAGAATATTCATTACCATGTAATTAACAACCTGATTTACATATAAATACAAACACAAATGGCTACAAAAAATTACATTCATACCAATCAAATCCTTCTTATCTCATCTAAAATACCACAATTTCACCTTTTAAAATGTAAAATATAACATTTTCATGCATATGTAAAATGGTATATATATATATATATTAAAATTTTGTATATATGACCCAATTGATGATTTATTCATTCAAATTGAATATCCAAAACTTCTTTCTTTTGGAAGCAATCGAAAAATTACAAATTTTCAATCAATAGCATTTCCCAATTTATAGTTTTCTCTTAAATCAAGTTATCGTCAAAAGAACTCCATCCCATAGATGCTTTGAAGCCCATTATTTCAAATTGTAATCCATTCTTTAGAGAAATACCAATATATAAATTTTAAATACTTTCTTACTTCCTATCCTCCTCTTCTCTGCTTCTTCTTCTACTTATTCTTCTTTCCCCCATGCAATTCTAATTTCCCCTCGGTTTCTTCATTCCAACCACTGTTTCAACCATTCTGAAGCTCCTGGGATGATAATTACTAGAAATAAAGGTTGCTTTGCTGCTAAGTGGCATGGGTTCATTTTATGTATATATAATAATATAATTTTTATACCTAAATTCATTTGAAATCCATCACAACCATCCATTTGATGATCAATAGTTGCATGTCTCTGTTAGGGGAAAACCAGAATTTTATCGCTTAGGCCTAGTAATAGTGGATGAACATTAAAATTAAATTAAAATTATATGAAATTTAATTAAAAAAAACTTCTGTAATTTTCTTATCTACGAGAAGCAACATATAGTTCTATATATCGAAAGAATCGTTTTGAAGTGTTGAATGCGATGCAATGATTTCTGAAAAAAAATTGAAGTTTTGGTTATTATTCATTCAGGATATTTACGCTTATACATAGTCAAACAAAGAGATAAGATATTAAAGAGGGTGAATGATATATGTATAAACTAGTGAAGTAAAAATATAAGGAAAATAAAGATTTGGTTCAACTAAAGTGTTTTAAAGATAAAAATTAAAAAGCACTTTTCTCAAATGAGGATATTCTACATAGGTGAGTGAGATATTTTGATAAACTTTTCAATGAAGATTATGAAAATATGAACCATCACATTAGTAAAATGAAAGTTAAAGAGACTTTAAAGAAAATGAAGTGTGAAAAATAGTAGGAACTGATAGTATTCTAATAGAAATGTAAAAATGTTTAAGATATTTGAGAATTTCTTGGCTTACTAAACTTTTAATATTCTTTTTAAAAATTTTAAAAAATGTCTGATGAGTGGAGAAAAGAGTCTATTAGTCCTTATTTTTAAGAATAAAGGGGATGCGAAAGAGTGCAAATTATATAAAAATTAAGTTAATGTGCCATAAATTTAAGTTATGAGAGAGAGACTTATTGAGCATGGATTACAACATGATAAAAGTTTTTCAAAATTAATATGGATTCTTGTCAAGCAAGCCTACCATGGAAGCTATTATGTGATAGAAAAGTAGCACTTCGACTTGAAGGAAAATTTTATAAAATGTTGGTGAGAACTGCAATGCTTTATGGAGCAGAATGTTTGCCTGTAAAAGAGAAGCATAAATTTAAGTGTTACTGAGCTGAGAATGCTTAGGTGAATGAATGAGTTTCAACTTATAGACAAAATGCGAAATGAATATATCCATAGAAGGTTGGAGTAGCTCTGGAGAGAATCGTGTTAGATGGTTTGGTTACATTAAATGTCGACCACCTGATGAAACAGTTAAGAAACAATATTTTTTTGATATGAATTATGCTAAAAAGTGTAGAGGTAGTCCTAAAAAGACTTGAGGATGTTGTGTATAAAAAATAATTTCATTTATTAGAATTGAATGAAATATGACACTTAATAGGACACAATGTTGAAAAAGGATTTGTGTAGCCGACCCCACTTAGTGGGATAAAGATTTGTTGTTTTTGTTATACACTTGTACACAAAAATTGAGTATCATATTATTATTTAAACTTAAATTCCCTCAAGAAAGTTCCACTCCTGTACATGTTGACAGCACAAATGTCATCAAAATTTCCGTCAATTTGGTATATCATTAGATGATCAAGCATATTGAAGTTAATAGTTATTCAATTCGGGAAGCTATCTTTATTTATATTATTTATCTTCCTTACTTTTCCACAAACCCTCAAATTGCAGATATATTCATGAAGGCATTGACTAGACAAAGACATTTATTTCTTATAGGCAAATCAATGCTTCTTGATCAACCAATATTAATTTGAGTGGAGATATTGATGTATATAACTAGTTGGTTGGAAATTAATTTACATGAAGCATGGCTAGATTGGCTCTATGCAGGCTACTTCATCAATTCATGTGCTTATGTAATTAATCTTCATGAATGCTGGCTAGATCGCCTCCTTGCATATCACTTGCTCAATTCATCTCCTCATGATTCCCACCTTATCAATTCATCTGCATGAATTTATTGTAACTAATTGTATAGTCAAATTTATACATTTATATGTGCATTCTTCTTATTATATAATCTTTCTAGAGTTGTAGAAATATGGCTCAAAGGATGGAATAAGACTTAAATTTCACGTGGCATTTTATTTTTCAGTATTGCCTGACAACTTTTTTCTTAGGAGATTGCATGGAGTAAGGCTACCTAAATTTGGAGTTCAGGTTTTGATTCACAAAAGAATTTGCAGGGGCAGGGTCCTGTACATCAACCCCCCCCCAAGAACCATAAGTGATGGGATCCTCATGCACTGTGTGACACTTTTAGGTTGCAAAGCTGGGAAGCTGATGTATGTATTAAAAGAGTCTACATAACGCTAGATAAAGGTATTAGCTTTAAATAAAAAAATAGCAGGAATTTTAGCGGGTATATATGACGGAAAGCTTACATATTATTTGACAGTCACTGCTATATAAAAATACCCATAATATGCACTATTGACTTGCAATGTATGCTGTTCATAGTATGCCGTCAACAAATTCTTTAACTTTTCTTTCTTGATTTAAATAAGCGATGTGAAAGGGCTAATGGGATGCTCTGGCACAATTGGTGACTTTGTGCAGACATGCATATTTTTATATAAAATATATAAATTTGATTGTAGAATATATATGTTTGTCTAGAGCACATTAAAAATGCTTTCATGTATGGTAAGTAATTTCACATGCTTATATGGGTGAAAATTTCATTTCTTATTGTTGACCTCTAAAAAAGCGACGAAAGAAGGAAAAATACAATAAAATTAAAACTCCATCTACTTTCGCCCTAGGACGCATAACTGCTCCCGCTCGTTATATTCTATTCAAATAAAAAAGACACACGTTAGACAAATAAAGGACACAAAAAATATCCCATCCTCTCTGCCTTACGAACTCAGAGCAGGACTAGTTCCACTTCTTCTTCCACTTTGTTCATGTAACCCAAACGACCCCACGGTCGTAAATATGAAGTCCCTTGCTCGATTTTGTCTCCTGGCCGACGTTCCGTGACAGAAGAGCAATAACAACGGGATCACAACTTACAAAGACCTTCAAAACTCTCGCCTTTCTCTCCTGCGCCCAGGAAAGGCAACAACGGGATCACGACCTCTGAGACTGCTTAATTTTGTATGTAGGAATCCATGTGTTTGTACGATCTGAGTCGAAGTCGATGCCGGGATCTTTCACCGAAGTTTAACCTCTTTCTGTTCACCTACAACACTTGCGATACGCTCACGACTAGAGCAAGGAAAGAACAACGGATCTTTCTCTTCATCCTCCCATCTTACCTTTTTCTTCTTTAATGCTGTAGCTGAAGCCTCTTCATTTTGATTGTTTTGTCTTTCGTGAAAATTTTCACAATATAGAAGTGGCTAGGTCTAGCCGTGAAGGTAACAATGGAATCAACGTGTATAAAGATTTTCAAAACTCCCACTTCCCATTTTGGACCCACATCCTAAGACTTTTATTGAATCTGGGAGCACCCTAGCCCTTCAACTGCCTCGTCGTCATTTCAATTTGAGCCCTTCACCACTTCCTGTTCGAACAAAAGCTTATAGCCCTAGTTCCTCATTGCCACAAATCAACACCAAGTGATCCCGTAACAACCTACCCAAGCCATTATCTTTCCATATCAATTTGGTGCACTTTGAAATATTTGCCAAATTTGTCGTCATCATCACTATCTCACAAGCAAAGATATAAATACAGGGATATTGTGCTTATATTATTTTGACGCAGGAAAATTGAAGACCTCTTGCCTTACGGACTATTAGATAAGAAGATTCTCTCCTGCTGTAGTGTCTCACGAGACCGTCCAAGGAGTCTTATAGACAGTTGGGCTAGCAGGCATCCCCGATGTGGTCGCCTAAATGGGATTGAACCTCGGGAGGTTGCTGAAATTGCTGGTGATCTTGGATTTGTAACAAGTAACTTAAAGGTTCATATATTTAGATTTTTTGGACATTACTTTAAAATGACATAAGAAAAGAAGAACGGGGAAAAATATAAATTGTGAACTAAAACACAAACTCAAATCTGAATCCATAACTTGATTATGCCAGCAGTCAAAATGGCTGTAAATGCTTAAAAATAAAATTATGCATGTAATCCAAAGTCATAATTTTTGCATAAACTTTCAAAATTTTTGTATGATTTCATGAATTGATGAATTCGTCATCGGATCTGCAATTCTAATTGACAGAAGACAGTTCCATTTAAAGCTCAAAAATATAATTTTACATGCACTCAATAATATAATATCCAAGTAAAATTTTATGGTTTCAAATGATTTTAAATTCTAAGAAAATGCAAGACTATGCTTCAACTCAAAATATGTCTTGAAATATGTGCAAAAAACTACGATATTTCAAGTAATTATACAAGTGCTGTCAAGTTATGTGCAGATGGCTAAAATATCATGTTATACTTTGAAGGACGTACAAGATTATGACCATATATGTGTGCTAAAATTTATGTAAAATGTGTAGTATGAATGTAATAAGATGTGTGCACATTCTCAAAATTGATCACTCGCATGTGCTCCACTAAATTATATAAATGTTTAAATATAATGGGGCTGAGTATACTGTGCGGGTTTAAATAAAGTTTTTACTTTGATTAATCTCACTTTGAACATCAATTAATCAGACCGCTTTGCCTATAAGGCTGGGTTGTAAGTCTCACTCAGTAAGTCCCATCCTTCTTTTAAAGCCTGAAGTTGATGAGTCTAATAAATTCAATAATGTTCAAATCGTAACTATAAGAATTTATAAGTCTTGTAAGTCCCACTCAGTAAGTCCCATCCTTCTTTTAAAGCCTGGAGTTGATGAGTTTAATAAATTCAATAATGTTCAAATCATAACTATAAGAATTTATAAGTCTAAATCACTCAGTCTGATCCTCATCTAGAATGGAGTTGACATGACTAACATGCTAAAATTATTAAACTAGCAAATTTCAATTGTAATTCAACCATAAATATTTTAAACGTTCAAATCTCCGATGATTTAAACTAACAAATTTGAATGTTGGCCTTTGAATGTTGGCCTTTAAAAGAGAAGCATAATAATAAGTTAAGTGTTGCCGAGATGAGAATGATTAGGTGGATGAGTGGCTTTACACTTAGAGACAAAATGCGGAATGAATATATTCGTGATAGGGTTTGTGTAGCTCCTGTGACAGACAAAATTAGAGAAAGTCGTCTTAGATGGTTTGGTCATATTAAACGTCGACCATTAGATGATCCGATTAGGAGAGTAGATGTTTTAAATTTGACTTGTGTTAAGAAAGACAGAGGTAGACCTAGGAAGAATTGGGTATTGTATTAAAAATGATCTTAATTTACTAGAACTAAATGAAAATATGACACTAAATAGGATGCAATGGAGAAAAAGGATTCATGTAGCCGACCCCACGTAGTGGGATTAAGGCTTTGTTGTTGTTGTTGTTGTTGTTCAAATCTCCGATGATGATCGAGTTGATAAAAGATTTTAGTTGGAATGGTCTTTTTCAAAATTAAAATTTAAAGTATATTTGAATATATATATATATATATATATATATATATATATCCGATATATACACTTGTGTTATGTGCAGGATAGATACAATCATGCATCCATAATACATGTATGTATTGCGTTTAAGCTCGCAAGGCCTATCACAAAACTTAAATCAATCTTTTTAGACTAGACTCAAGCTGATAATATCGAAGCCGAGCTCAAGAGACTAGCAACTTTCCTTGTTACCCCGAGCTGTATTATAACTGCACATAGCATAGATTCCCTGAAGTCTAAACTTATTTTCTTGGAATTCCTTGTGGACGCTCTTTAATAGTTTCATGATATTTATGTTGAAGCTTTCTCTGATTTTTTTGGCATAATACTGTGCATCACTGCATAAAATCAGCTGTTTTGCTTATGCTAGTTTGTTTAAATCTCAGAAAGACGAACAAGATGCATAAATCTGCCATCCGTCTTCAGAATATTGTTTCTTTGAGAGTATTGGAGCAAAAATCTTTGCGTTCTGCAGGAAGCAAACAGTCTCATGCAGCTACAGGTCACCCGACATCTCCAATTGTCTTTCCAGAGAAACGGGGACATCAGGTTTCTACTGTTAGGGATGATCCTTTCAAAACAAAGGCTCAGGAACATTGTGTGGATATAGACGAGCTGTCAGATTTGTTGGGATATGATATTTTCTCAGGTAAGCTTGCCCTTGTCAGGAGATCTAAAAGCACAGGTACTAATGAGCAATCGGGTTCCGGATATACAAATCCATCTAGCACTGATGCAAAACTTACAAGCAAAGCATTGACCTGGGGATCTCAAACTTTACTTCTTGAGGATGTAGTATCTGTAAGTGCTATATAAATTTCTGATCGTTTATGAGAAATAGAGTGTGCTCCAAATATTATAAGCTCATCCAACCACAAATTGATGTCCTTAGCATATTATTCATCAGGTTAATTTACCAAGTATGTCACATCGTGATCTATTAAATGCTTACTTGAGACTTTTACTTTAATGCGTAGTTTGTGTAATCCTCTTTGCTTAATGACATTTATTTGTTTTCTTGTAGACATTTCTAAGTTGCATGCTTGCGATTTTGATCTGCTTCTATTCCAGTTTTTATATTTTTGCTCTTTAGTGCATTATGATGAAATGTGATAAAAAAAGCAGATATTGTGGTGGACGTTTGATATATTGATTATTAAGAAGGGAATAATTAGGTGTAGAGAATAAAGTAAATGAAGAGAAGTGGATTGAGAAGATTTGAATAAAGAATGCTTTAAAGGAACAGAAACATGATGCTGGGAGAGAAAGTATGAAGAAACTAGGAAGGGAGGAATCAAATCATTGATGGGTTTCCGAAAGAAATACTTATTTTTATTGCATTATCAACCATATGATTACAGTCTGATCGGAATTGTTAATTGTAGCCATAAATTCACGCACTTTCTAACCCTACTAAAAATAAAATATTGAAAAAATCCAAATTGGCAAATGTGAACTAGCGGCATAAAATATGATTATTTTGACACAAATATGACTCAATATTGATAATTGAAAATAAACATCTTGCCTTGCATTATAATCTGTTGCTCAAAGCCCTATTGGTGCTTCTAAAGCAATAAATTTTGATAAATCTAAAAAGAGTCTTTGCATTACTGCTTGTTCTCATCCCAATGAGAATTGATTGTACTAATGCTTTGAAAGCAACAACTAGATTGGTTGTCTTCATCTCGTTAGGATTTATTAATAAACTGATGATATTTCATTGATAGTGTGGATCATTCTACATCATTTATTGTTTTTCAGTGGGTAATATTGAAGTTGCCCCTTTATTTAATCAAGCAGGTTCTAACAAATGTTGATTTAGTAATTCTCGCAGGTATCATACAATACTGGTTTGCGATATTTTAATGTGCATGCATATCCTCTTAGAAAAAGATCTGGTGGGCTTTCATGTATTCTTAAGCCAAAGAGATGCCGAAAGGACTTTTGCTTCTTGGCATCTAGTTCAGAAGAAGCCATTCAATGGGTTTCTCGGTTTGCAGACCTGCAGATTTTTGTTAAATGCTCACCTCATCCTATGAATTCGTCTAGAAAGAAGTCAGCGAAGGATTTGGTTGCAAGCATTCCTTTGTTTGATGAACCATATATAAAATGTAAAAGCCCACCCAGAATATTTGTGATTCTTAATCCACGTTCTGGTCATGGCCGTTCTAGCAAAGTTTTTTATGGAAAAGTGCAACCGATATTTGAGGTGTGTTAAGCTTAAGAAGTTATGTTATTTATATATATTTTGATGTGTAAGCAGCTAAAATTCATGATCCATTTATTATTATGGCGAACTGAAATTTCTCTTCTATTTTGTGCATATTTTTCAAAATACAGGTTATAAACATTTATTACACAGGTTAGATGAAATCTCTTACATCGTAGTTTAGATTCTTTGCTGGGCTATTCCTATGAAGGGAAAGTATTTACTAAACTTTATTAAAATCTGGTTTTTTCTCAATAGATACACGTTTTTTATTGGAAATTTTAAAGATTTATTTATTATGGTTATTTTTGTGTAGTTTTGGCTCTTAGAGATATCCATTGCATGAATCCTCCTACCCTTTTACCACCTATTATGTTTGACTGTTTTCTTTGACAGTTTTTATGATTTATGCTTGGGCTGTCCTACTTCAACCACAAGTTCTGTTTGCTTGTGCAATGGAAAACATTGATTCAGTTATGTTTCAAAGATCTTATCTGTTGAATTATTCTTGCATAGCTCAACAATATAACATCCTACTTGGGGATAGAATTAAACATTTATATATCTAGTTGTAGCGTATGATATCTTCATTTATTGATCTTGAGTCAACACATTCTTTAAACATTATTCCTGATCTCTTATGAAAGTTTTCTGGGAACTTACCGCTGAGGCTGAATTGAGCTTTTCAAGAGTTATATAAACTTAGACTAATGTGGTTACTTGTAATTAGGTGAATCGTGAAGGAGAAGTGGGGACAAATATAGTGGAGACAAGAAAAGACAGCAACGGAATAGTAATTATAATGTGGAGAAGATGGGTCTTTTAGCATTCCCTTGTCGGGCATTACAAAGTCCTTTGGTTCTGATAGGTTTTTCTTCTATGGGGTAGTAATACTTTTTAATTAAGTTAATCATAAAAAAATTGATATTACGCATTTACGACACTTACTTCACAAATGTAGTATGAGAGACACCTCACCACCCTTGAGAGCCTTAACCTAGAGTTTGTTCTCTCATTTTCTCCATTCTATGTTAGCATGAGACAAGACCGAGCCCCGTGCAAGTTCCACATGCCTGAAAAGCTTAAGCGGTTCAAGAGCTTCCTGGTGCATCATCAACAAACCCAAATAGAAGAAAAGAAAGGAGGAAGTCAGCTCCCAAAACAGGTAGCGACTCACAAGAGCCATTCCCGCATGTATAGACGTTCAAATAGAGTGTCTGCGAGCTTTGAAAGTAGGGAACAACTTGTAGAAACTATTTCCGCACTTGAGAAGTGCTCAATTAAATGCAATTGAGCATTTGCTAGCTCCAGTAGAAGAGAATCATGCCCTAACCGAACGAAGAGGAGAAGAGGAAAGCTATGTGCAATTTTTCCCCTATCGTGTGGCAATTTATGCATCCGAGGGAGCTCGTCCAAGCTCTTCATGCTTTGGGCACAAAAATCGGGAAATACAGTGAGAAGGAAAGGTTTTGTGGCTTAGATAAGAAATTTGAAACTCATTTTATTTTTTTTTTTTCATTAAGCATAGAATAATACACTATCCCGAGAGATATAAATATTATCTTTGTCATTAAGCATAGAATAATACACTACACTATCCCGAGAGATATAAATATTATCTTTAAATGGATCTAATCATTCGAATGAAATTTTTTTTTGAAATTTGTGTTTGCATAACTAAAGATTTTTCTTCTACCTTTCGTGTATAAGATTTATTTTATTTATTCTGCGGCTTGCCATCCTTACAAGAGTAAGCCTTTATAGTTACTTGCATTCAAGAATTGTGGACTTCTGATTATACTCTCGATTAAAGTATTGCATCATATTGTGTAGGATTACAAGATTGGTGTATTCAATATTGATGTTTAAGGACTTTAAATTGATAGATTCAAGGTTTGAAAAGATTTGTTCTTGGAGCTCAATGGTTGAGACTTATAGGTTGATGGCGATGTGTCATTGGCAAGAACCCGAAAAATGGTTAACCAACTCTAGAAGAAAGTATACCTTGTGGATAAAAATTGTAAGATTGTTGAAAAGGTTAGGTTTTGATTTAAAGGTTAGATTTGTTTGAAAAACTTGATTGATTTGAACGTTTGATTGAACCTGAAAGTTTGATTGAAGTTGAATGCTTGATTGAATTTAAAGCCTAGACTAAGGGACAAGATTGAACAGAAAAATTTCTAGATGGAAGTAGAGCCATAATCCTATAATAAGCATAGACTCTATAAGCAGATTAAGTATGTGGTCTAACTTAATTTATGAGCATAAATCCTTTGGTCAAGATGCCCATGACTTTTCATCATCTCGAGTTCATTGACATCCTTAGACTATCAACTAACGAGACAATCAGAGGTCTTCACTTAGGGTGCGTTTGGGGCAGCTTGTGTGTTTCGGATAAACTGCTTATCCTGAAACGCGGCCCGCGGGCGGGCCTTGGAATTCGGTCTGCGACCTGCATTTTGTGTAAAAACCCAAATACAATTTCATATAAGCTGGCGAAATGAGCGAACCAAACAATACGACGACGTTTTGAAAACGTCGTCCGCACTTATAAGCTACCTCAAACGGGCCCTTAATATCATTGCGATGACGACCATAGATCCTCTTATGATTAGGTGGTTTGAGGTGCATTTGTCAGTAAACCTGAGCTACTTCATTCTAAAGCACCTATATAATCTAAGGGGGTAAATATTATTTATTTTATATGTCCTAGTACTTAAAGTTAACTAGGGGTACCTAATAAACTAAACTTGGCTTCTAGACTGGACTATTTGAGTGAGTGTGGTCCTGAATTTTGTTTCTATGTTTCTAGGGTTCACAATTGACCTACCTAGGGGTAATTTCTATTATTTAAGTTGGTGAATTTTAGGTTTATTTTGTGTTTTTATATTTAATTCATGGTTTGGTTCAACTTCTAAATAGTCAGTCAACATAAAAATCAGAGTATTCTATGTTTAGAGTTTTGCATTCAGTTTTCTATTCTTAGTTGGTGTTCTGTTAGTTTTCCTCATTATTTCGACTTCTAGCGTTGGTTTACTGTTTGAAGCTCACATGTCCGAAAATTCTCATATATAAGCCATTCAATGCTTACATTTTTCATTATTAAGTTTCATATAAATGCTTAATTTTTAAAATTTTACTTTCACACATGAAAAAGGTAGTTTTGATATATATATATATAAGGGTTTCGCCATGGCGATCCCTGGTTATTACTCCAATGCTTCTCTTCGTCGATCAAACTCTCTCGCCATTGTTGACGTGTGTCCTCGTCTGTTGCTCGTGCGTCATCGACTTTGTCGATCGAATCGTCTCTACTTGTGCGTCGGATGCGTCAGGCTCCCTCCCGCTCCTTCCAATAGTCGCTTCTCGTCCTCGGGCTCGAGCTGAAATCGCCGGGACTTCGCCGCTCCTGCTCGTTTCGGGTTTCCGCTCCTTTCAATTTGCTCTGAGACCGCAAGGGCTTCGTTTTCGCTCTCGTTCCCTCTTCCGGGTGTCCGCTCCTTCCAATTTGTCCCTCAAGCTGAGATCGCAGGAGCTTCGTCGCTCCCTGTTTGGGGTTTCCGCTCCTTCCAATTTGCTCTCTGCTCTGCTACGCTACACCTCCATCTATTTGGAATGACTTCAGACAGATCTTATGCTGCTGCACTTGTGGGCGTCTACGCCTCAAATACACTTAAATCATGCTCTTTCTCTCCTTCATTTGTGTGGGCGGAGGACATCAAGAAACCCGGTAGGAAGAATAGGAAGCCTGTCATAATTTTTACAGAAGCTGAATGTATTCAATTTGCTTCCTTCCGTCGATTGAATTTGGTCGGAAAATTTCTGTATGACCATCCCAAAATGGAGTTGATTCATAAGGAATTTGAGCTTATGCACCTTTTTGGGGAGAAAATTTGGACTATTAGATGGAAATCATATTCTTATATAACTAAATAATGAAGAAGATTACACACGCTTATTTGCTAGAAAGATAATCTGGATTGATAACAGAGCAATGAAGATTCTGAAATGGTCTGTGGATTTTGACCCACAGACGGAACCACCAATCATTCCAGTTTGGATTTGCCTCCCTGGTCTGAAATTTCATTATTTTACTCAAAAAGTGTTGTACTCTATTGCCTTAGCTTATGGTAAGCCACTCAAAACAGACATTCCTACTTTTAATCTTTCTCGTTCATCTAAAGTCAGAGTACTTGTTGAAAGAAACATCACTTCACCCGCCTATGAGGAAATTTAGTTGGGCACATAGCATCATGGATATTGGCAAAATGTAGTGATTGAGCTTTTTCCTTCTTATTGTTCAAACTGTCGTATGTTCGACCACTCCAGTTCTCAATGCCATCATTTACACCCCAAAGACAAAAAAAACACAGTGCTCTGTCAGCGATTTCATCTCATCCTTGACATTATTGATCACCAAAAGGATATCCCGGAAGACGTCACTATTCTCGCAGGAAATATGACAACCATTCAGTCCCCAGTTGTAGCTCCCCTGTATTTGGAACCTCCTATCGTGGGGGAGAGGGTGATTCTTCAGACCCCACATGCCCTAGAACTTATCACCGATAATGTAGGTGACAATACTTTATTGCTTCACTACCGCCTCATCAGGTTGAGCAAGCTGTTAATGGTACTCAGACTCATGGGATCATGATGTGCAACAGCCTACACCTGTCCGACCACTTTTGGACAAATCTACTGATCAGATGAGTCAATCATCGGATGAGGAATGACTGTTCTACACATCCAGAAGGAAGAAGAAGAATAAAGATCTACTTGAGCTCAGAATCTGATGGATGATATGTTGGTTACTACGGACAATGGTACTCACCTTAGCAATTTGTTAACCGGCTCACTTTCGAGGACTAGAGGCAAAGGGAGAACTAAAGTGGGACGGCTGTAACACTTTTGCGCACTTTTATGGCGTTTTGATTTTTTACCTTTATGTATCTTTGTTTTATTTGAATTTTGTGTGTGTTGTATTGTGTGAGTTGGGCTTT